GGAGGCTAACTGTAATAATCTAGACAAGAAAGGATGAGAACTTGGCCAAGATGACAACTATAGAAGTGGTGAGAAGTGGTCAAATTCTGAATATATTCTGAAGGTACTGCTGAGATGGCTAGCTAATGGGTTAGATGTGAAGTGTGAGAGAGGAATCACGGATAACTGCAATATTTTTGGCCTGAGCAATTTAAAGATTGCAGTTGCCATTAACAAAGATGAGGAAAACTGAGGAATGTGTAGGGGAGGGGGAACATTTTAAGCTTGAGGTGCCTGTTTTATATCAGTAGAAAATATGTTTACCTGAAAAATATTTGACTTAGCAGTTGGTTTAATAAATGGATGATTATTGACTGTGGATCCATTTCTACCTATGTGGCTTTAAATACCTATGTGGGATTAGCAATTTTAATTAAGATTATTTAAACTTAGTTAAAAGTTAAAAAAAAAACAGAATCAGAGATCTGTTTTTTCTGTTTATATTGCTGACTAAAGCTGATTCTTAAATAGATGAGCCAACAGGTATCAGCTTCATTTTAATGAACTGGAGTTGTGAACACTCAATTAAAGTGTGGGCATCAAATTTTGTAGATGACTATTTGACATCTAAATCTAGAATTGTATGAGATTTGTAATAATAAAGCTTTGCTCTTGACTTTGGATTCTTATATAAAAAAAGAAGTATGTCTAAATCTCTGCCAGTGAACTTTTCATTAGGATCAACCAATTTATACAGCAAATTTCTTTCAACCTGTCTTTAGTACTATTAAAAAAGCTCAAATGACCAAGTGGCCTTATCCCAGGTTTGCAAGGCTGGTTCAAAAATTAATTAATGTAATCCATCACATCAATAAGTAAAAAGGAAAATCACAAAATCATATCAAAATATGCAGAAAAAACATTTAACAAAATCTAATATCCATTTATGATTAAAATTCTCAGTTAACTAAGAAGAGAGGGGAACTTCTTCAACTTTGATGAAGGATTTCTGCAAGAAAAACCTGTAGCCAACATCACACCCAATGGTGAGAAACTCAAAGCTTTCCCACTAAGATCAGGTACAAAGTAGGGACGTCCTCTCTCATCGCTCCTTTTTAACATATTGGGAGGTTTTGCTAATGTAATAAGATGATAAAAGGAAACAAAAGGTATACGTATTGGGAAGAAAGACATAAAACTTTGTTCACAGATAACATAATTGTCTAGAGAGAAAATCCAAAAGAATCAATTTAAAAAAATCCTGAAACTAATAAGCAATTTTAGCAAGGTTACAGGATATGAAGTTAATATGCAAAAGCCAATTTGCCTTCCTGTATACCAGCAATGTGTAAGTGGAACTTGAGATTAAAAAATAAAAGCACAAGATAATTTACATTAGCACCCCCAAAAGTAAAATGTTAAGGTATCAATCTAACAAAATAGATGCAAGATCTATAAAAGGAAAACTATAAAATTCTGATTAAAAAAATCAAAGAAGAACTAAACAAAGGGAGAGATATTCTATGTCCATTGATAGGAAGACTCGATATTATTAGATGTCTGTTCTCTCCAACTTGATCTATAAATTAAATGCAATACCAATCAAAATCAGAGCAAGTAGATATCAACAAATTGATCTAGTTTAGAGAAGAAAAAGGCCCAGAATAGCCAACACAATATTGAATGAGAATAATAATAATAATAATGTAGAACTGACACTACCCAACTTCCAGACTTATTATAATGCTTACATTAATCAAGACAGTGGTATTGATTTTAACAAAAAGATCAATGGAACAGAACAGAGAGCCCAGCAGTAGACCCAAGTAAATATGGTGAATTGATCTTTGGAAAAGGAGCAAAGACAATAAAATGGAGTAAAGAGTCTTTTAAACAAATGGTGCTCGCATACTGGATACCCACACGCGAAAAAATGAATTTCAGCATGGATCTTACAATCTTTACAAAAATTAATTCAAAATGGACCATAGACCTAAATATAAAATGCAAAACTATAAAACTCCTAGACGATAACAGGAGAAAACCTAGATGACTTTGGGCATAGCAATAACTTTTTAGCTATAAAACCAAAGGCATGATCTGTGAAAAGACATAACTGGTAAGATGATGACTTCACTAAAATTTAAAATTACTGCTCTGTGAAAGATAATGTCAAGGGAATGAGAAGACAAGTCATAAACTAGGAGAAAATATTTGCAAAACACAAATCTGATAATAATCCAAAATACAAAAATAAAAAATCTTAAAACTCAGCAACAGGAATACAAACAACTCGATTAAAAAAATGGGTCAAAAACCTTAAGATACACCTCACTAAAGAAGAAATACAGAGGTAAATAAGCATATGAAAACATGCTCCATATCATATGGCATCAGGGAAATGCAAACTAAAACAGCAATGAGATACCACTACAATTATTAGATTGGCCAAAATCCCATATACTGACTATACCAAATTCTGGTAAGGATGTGGAGCAAAAGGAATTCTCATTCATTGTTGGTGGGAATGCAAAAATGGTACAACCACTTCGGAAGATGATTTGGCATATACTTGCCATATAATCTAAACATACTTACCATTTAATCCAGCAATCATGTTCCTTCATATTTATCCAAAGAAGCTGAAAATTTATATACACACAAAAAAGTCTATATGGATATTTACGGCACCTTTATTCATAATTGCCAAAACTTGAAAGAAACCAAGATATCCTTCAGCAGGTACATGGATAAACTGTGGTATACATAGACAATGGAATATTATGCAGTGCTAAAAAGAGATGAGCTATCAAGTCATGAAAAAACATGGAGGAAACTTGAATGCATATTACTAGGTGAAAGCAGCCAATCTGAAAAGGTTACATACTGTATGATTACAACTACATGACATTATGGAACAGGAAAAACTGTGCAGACAGCAAAAAGATCAATGGTTGCTAGGGCTTGAAGGAGGAGGGAAAAATGGAGTACAGAGAATTTTGTGGGCTGTGAAAATACCCTGTATGATACTAATGGATACATGTCATTATACATTTGTCCAAACCCATAGAATGTATACCACCAAGAGTGAACCCTAAGATAAACTGGACTTTGGGTGATTATGATGCATTAATAATGTAGGTTCATCAATTGTAACAAATGTACCACTCTGGTGGGGAATATTAATAATAAGAGAGTCCCTGCATGTGTGGGGGAAGAGAGTATATGGAAAATTTCTTTATTTTCCTCTCAGTTTTGCATGAGCCTAAAACTGCTTTAAAAAACATCGTCCTTAAAACAAAAAAAGTCCAGAGAGGCAAAATTTGACACAGTACTTTTCCATATTTATTCAGCATTCTTTTAGCTAAGTAAGCACAGTTTGAAATAGCTCATTATTAATAATTTTACAGTTCTGCGATTACAAGCAAATAGGACTACAACATGCTAAATAATGCTCTAGAGACTACTTTAAATATTTTAAGGACAGATTATGAATTAGCTTTGTGCTGAACTAATGTTATAGATAGCTAGAGAGTTACCAAATACTTAAACTACTGAAAAGGCTAAGTAAATTTTAATTGTAGTAATTTGATTGTTAATCTTTACAGGTAAAAGAGAACCACTACTAAAAATGTGAGGTTCCAAGTATTTTCTAAAACAAAGAAGAAAAACTTACTATGATGGGGTATAAGTCTATATAAATTAAATAAATTGGTTAATCACCTTTTTAAGAGGTCATAAGGCATTTGAGAATTCCTTAAATACCTTCCATGTGATCATAATAATATAGTCAGTTACATCTTTCCAAATTCACATAATACATGTTGCACATGTTGAAAAATTCCTTTTCTGAAGTTCGTCATATTTTAACTGATTTTGGAAACTTGTAACTGCTAATCTATATAGGTATAATACCTGCTTCCAAATGCTTCTCTCCACCTCCAATGAATAAAATGGAATTTGGATTTTCATTTCACTTGTAAAGTAAATAATAATGGAAGCAGAACCCAAGGTAAGTACATGTCTCTCAGCATACACCTCCACTGTCTACCTGCCTAACACTGAGTTTTAACACTCAGTGCCACTGCCATCTGCTCTCAAAAGTGTTTCTCTCTCCAGACTCTTCTGTGGACCATTACAGCACTTAACAAGCTAAACAGTAATCACTGGTTTTGTCCTACCCTTGTCTTACTAACTGAAGGCAGACTATCCTTTCTCATTTTTGTATTTTCTGATCCTGGCAGTATCTAGACACATTAAATGGTACACAGTAAATGCTTAGCAAATGTTTGCTGAATGAATAAATGAACAAATGAACTAAACAATTTTGATTGCAGATGTTATAACAAAACATTGTAATAAGTATTTCATTACCTAAAGTTATGTTTAATATTATACAAAAAATATAAAAGAAAACATTATCTCAGCCCATTTCTAATATCCATACTTTAAATTCTTATGTTCATTTATATTAACAAACATAGTACTATTATACACTAGCACAATGCAGGACTAGCTTTCAGTACCTACTCTTTATTCACAATCACTATTGTTAGTGTAGATCAGCATCAAAGGACAATTCCTAAAGAAATATATCATAAAATGATATTTCAATAATATTAACATTGTGATTAAATTAAATTTTCTTATCCAAGTCTCTTCCTACTTTCAAATTAGAACTTTTTAATGATAAAAGCTAGGTCTAACCACTTTTTAATTCTAACTTTCCTTTGTACAATAAGCAAGCAATAAACAACACTTTCTGCTAGTTTTAGTACATTGATACAAACATTTTATTTTTCTTCTCCATTTATGTTCTTACAGGTAAAATTCCATTACAGTGAATTCTCTTGGACTGCCAATTGATTACAATTTCACTGTTAGGATTTATTTTATAGATGCTACATAGTTTTCAGGAACAATTTATTACAAAGGTGCAAGGGTTTAAGATATGAAAACCAGTATCTGAAATTGTGTAAGAAGTGATATATATATATATATATATAATATATATNTTTATTTTGAAATTTTATGTGTAAAATTATAGAACTGTCAAAAAATAATTCATTTCTTTTTCTCCTTCATAGTAAAAAAGCTCCAACAAAGTACTTTCTATGCCAGTGTATTCATAAGTAAATCACTATTATAATTGACTATTGAGAAATGAAACTATTTGAACTTTTCAAAAAAATGCAAAGCCTTTCTTGATTAACAGAATTTGTTTTATTGGGATTTTACCTATAGTATCTTGTGCTCTAGACAAGTAACAAAACAAAGAAGTCAAAGTATTATGTAACCATATTACAGATCTCAGGAAACAGACATTCAGAAAAGATTTAAGGCTGACAGTAATAGCCTCTCATAAAACTCAGCAAACCTTACAATTGTAATTGGACTTCAGAGGGACCAAAATATTGGTTTATGTTGAGCCAAGAGTAGGAAAATCTTCCACTGTTGACATTTTCATGTTCTTAGTTTTTCAATCAAACAATCAGCCTATAATTAAAAAAAACACACATTAAAAAAATTCTAGTTACCATAGCTTATATGAAATAATTCTAATGGCTAAATCCCTATTGTGATTTAATCTAATTCTAATCATAAATCCCTATTATGATTAGCCATAGCATAACAGCTGGATACTACATATTCTGCTCCTAAAAATATCTTACAGAAAAAAATCTCTCAATGAAATAGTTTTATAAACTATAGTAAAAGTATTCAATACTGTATACAAATGCAGATTTTCATCCACATTGCATATTCATTAAACAGTTTCAATAAGGAAAGAAAAATAAATATAATAGTAAAATTTTAAAAAGTAAACTAGACATGGAGGAGTCTTAGATGCATATTACTAAGAGAAAGAAGCCAATCTAAAAAGGCTACATACTGTATTATTCCAACTATATGACATTCTAGAAAAGGCATAACTGTAGACATTAAAAAGATCAGTGATTATCAGGGATTAACGGAGAGGGAGAGATGAATAGGCAGAGTACAGAAGATTTTTACAGCAGTAAAGCTATTCTGTATGATACTACAGGTATTATGGTAGATACATATTATACATTTGTCCAAACCCACTGAATGTACAACATGAACCCTAATGCAAACTATGGACACTGGGTGATAATGACGTGTCAATATAGTTTCATGGCTTATAACAAACATTCACTGTGGTGTTGTAGGATGTTGGTAGTAGGGAAGATTATAAGTATATGCAGACAGAGGGCACATGGGAACTCTGTACTTTCTGCTCAATTTTGCTATGAACCTAAAACTGCTCTAAAACATAATCTAAGAAAATAAAAAACTGAAATCTTATTATATAATTTCAGAGACATTTCTCAATTATTTTATATATCTGGGACATTATATAAGAGATTTTGAAATAAACTTTGTCTTTATCTTGATTTTTTTTTCAAAGTCTCATAATATATACTGATGGATTTAAGAGTTCAGATTCCCAGGATGAACCATTAACAGATCTTATAATTTTGTTCATTCAGTTTTTTCCTAACTAAAAAGTCATGTAAGGAAATAGTTAAAAACATCACAAAAATGCATTTTAATAATTTTTATTATGAAAGCATACATCATGTAAAAAACATATACAAATTTTAAAAATCCCTTTTTTATCACACTGGTTTTTTAAAGAGCCCACACCATCTGTCCTGCAGAATGTCCCACTTTTTTATTTAAGTATATATACACACATAAATATCTTAAGCATATGTTTTAATTAAATAGAATCATCTGGATAAGTTTAGAGAGAGATGTTTGAAATATGAAGTTTCTAGAAATCATATGCTTTTTAATTTCTTGTGTACTATGGCTATAACAATATGCACTAACTAGTGGTAATTATTTAATTATTTAATTTGTATTTTGATGATTATTCAGATACAGCAACTACAGGTCACCTTATCACTATGGATACATAAAATAAGAGACTGGTAAGATAATAGTCAAGTGGCCCTGGAAGGACAGAGTTGCTTTATAACCAAGGCTTGATTGTCAGACCACAGGCCTGTCAGACAGATCATCAGCTGAATTCCATCTTACTTTTGCCCTAGCAAAATAGAATTCTGCAACTTTTTAGGCTCAAATCTTCAACTTCAGACCTAGAAGTTGATATTAGTACTGGAGCCCTTTTCTAAGGAATTTAAAGGGACTATAAAAAATTATAAAAACTCAATTTCTATAATGATTATTGATGATGATGATAGAGGCAGCAGTTAACATTTACTGAGCACTTACTATTTGCAAGGTACAATGTCAAGTGCTTTACATGTAAATTATTTTATTAATCCTTCTATCAACCCTAGATGTAGGCTTTATTACCTATATGCAGATTATAGATAAAGAACTTGGGCCTTAAAAAATTTAAGTAACTTGCACATGGTCCCTCAAGTAACTAATGTAGCCAGAATATAATCCAGATTTGACTCTGGATTCCGAACTACTAATGCCACAGTTTTTCATCATTATCCTCTACCTGCAATGGAGAGACTCAGTCATGGCTTGTTTTTCTACAGATCTAATGATCTGGGAAATCCCCCAAATTAAAACTATTATGTTGGATATGTACAAGCAGTATGTTAAAACAGATGATCAAGCCTATGAGAGTTCTTAAGTGCCTACTGTTCCCAAGAAGAGAAAGACAACAAAAAAGACAATTATTTTAAATATTTTTGAACACTGCTAGTATAACAGTGACACTTACTGTGATAAACCAATAGGAATTCACTCTATAAACTAACTTTGATAAGAAGCCAAGCTCATCGACTGGTGCCAGAACATGAAGGTGTAAGTGGGAAATGGAACAGAACGGTGGCATATGGAAACCCATTCTAAAACAGAAAGGTAAAAGGTAATTGGCAAATCAGTTCTACAATGGCTTACAGCTGTTTTTTCTTGTTAAGACACATAAATATTAAAGATATCTAAAATAGGTTTCCTAGAGCAATCACATTATCACTCAAACATCTCTTAGTAATGACTGTTTTTCTTTATATACTTAAGAGTATCCACACAGTTCTTTGCATGGCGAAGTTCACAGAAACAAAAACTCATCATCAAGGAAGGCTTTAGCTGTGTATTATGCTTCAGAATACCGTTATGAACTCTTGAGTTGGCTTTATGTCTTAGCACTTTAGTCCATATCACACTAAGCTTTAATTCTCTTTATTTAGATGTCTCTGCAATGATTCTTTAAAAAAAAATTACAGGACACAAATAGAAATAGGGTTCTTTTATTCCAAGAAATAGCCAGTAGACAGCATGCTTTCTCCTTTAGTGTAAAGTGGTCATCTTATCAACCCATATTTCTGTTGTGAGATTAATTATATCATCATTACAGAAACTATCATTTTTCTTGTTTAAAACAATAGTGAAAGTTAGATGATAATTATTCATAATTATTTGCCTCATAAAACATTTGTAAAATAATTCCTTTGATTAGTAAAACAAAAAAATTTAATAGATTTAGCCTCTTAAAAATCAGTTACAAACTGATGTTTGTAAAATGTTCATTCTTCTAATGAGCACTCCAGTGACTGGGAAGGGAAGGTACTGCTTTGGGCCAAAGAGTCAAAAATACCATCTGCTCCTCTGAACAGTGCTTAATGCTTTTCAGAAGATTTTCATACACACAGTCTCACTTGAGCTAGAGGTAGGCAGAGCAGATAGTTTCTTGGAGCGGTTAAACAATTTAGCTAAAGTAACACAGCCAGAACAACCACAGGACACAGTAAGTAGCATGGATAGCATTAGAATTAAGGTCTCTGAATTCCAGTTCAGAGGTGTTAGAAGTAATCTCCATTATACCTGCCTTGGTAATGCTTTGGTCACACAAGGCAAAGCCAGAAATCTTTACAAAACAAAAGACTATTTAGATTGATTAAAACAATTGCCAAATTGAACATTACTTTTTCTCAAACTTTGGCAAATGCCACAGTTCAGTTCAGCAGGCAATGAATTCAAGTTGATTTTATGCTAAATGTATAATAATATATTTCTGAATTATACAAAATGAGTATTTACTAAGAATATTCAATTTACACACAATTTTATAAGAATGCATATATTGAACACAGAAGGTGACTTGTAGCTATTTTACTTAACCGCTGTTGAATACACATGTCCATCCAAAATACAAGTGGTGATTATTAGATGTTGAGACATGAGAGGTAGAAGTTTTGATATTAAATTTAACCTACTAATGAAGTATGCTCACTCAGGAAAACTGCACTTAAAACCATGAACTTAGCCACCTCTGCTTTCATTTCTCCATGAGGAAATTACATTTCAGAAAAACCAATTGCATATATGATCTCTACTGGGAAGTAATCATACCTTACATTTTTGAAGTCAGTGAAATTATTCCTTTCAAGAATGGTTTTTCCAACAGCTACCATGTTCTCAACTAGAAAACAGGAAAGAAACATTACATTATAGGAGACATTAGGTTCATTAAATTATTATTAATTTTAACTTTTAGGGTCCTAGTCAAAAGTCTTATCAAATGCTTAAATACAAGAGATATTCAATGGCTCTAAGTTATTGAGAAGTTTTCTTATCAGCAACTGAAATGAAGCTGCAGTTTGTCACAAAATATTACACATAGGCTGGCTTTCAACAACTATTGACGGGTATTTTCAAGTGAGTATTTAGAACATCTCTTCCCTTCTGAGGTATAGTTCTAATCACAAAGAGACCAAACTGTTTGAATTAAGAAGAAAAACAGGACAGTTTTTAATTTGTCTTTGAGCCCTAATTAGGGATATGAAATGCTCTCCTGTCAGCTTAGTCTTGACCAGCCAAATGTTTCTGTAATTATTTTGGCTTCCGCACTCTATCTGCCTTACCATCTTTATTTTCTCAGTGCTTTATGGCCTTCAGATGGGAATATGCTTCCTCACTAGGAAAATTTTGGTAACCTGGGATCTTCAAAGCACAAGGCCAAACTTTAGACTTCTTTTGTTTCTGAATGGTGTAATCAAACATTTGAAAGGGGAAGAAGTGAGAGACTCCACAGAGAATAATGGTTCTTATAATAAGGCTTATAGTTCTTACATAAAGTAGTTGCTAATGTTTACTTCTTTAAGTCAGACTTGAGCCTGGAGGCTGCCAGACTTCCATGATAAGGCTAGTAATATGTCAAAAAAAAAAAGATTCAAAAGCTCAAGTTAATTCAAGTTAGACTATATCTTGTATTTTACTCCCAAGATATGAAACATGGGGTAAATGCAAAAGACAGTTTTTGCTTTTAGTTTTTTAAAAAATAGTTTTCAACAGATACAATTGTTTAAATTATTTTAACAGTATTGTTAGGCAGAAAGACAGATATGGGCAGGATGAAAGGAGGGTGAGGGCCACCAAGAACTCAGGGAGTTAATCACATTAAACCTTTCTGAAGGACTCACACCCTTTATAATGTGAGTTCACTCCACATGCTCTGAATCTGGGCTGAGCCTGAGACCTGCTCTAGCTAACACAGGTGAGACAGAGCAGAGACAGGGACAAGCATCATGATTAATTTTCCTAAAGGTGCCGAGATGTGAATAGCATAATAAGAACAAGAGGGACTTATCTTAAGGCTAAGATTCTATTTTAAGAGAGGATTGGGAAGTTAGATTACAGGCATATTCTTTAGTAATCAGCCAACAATCTATCTTAAGGCAAGGCAAGCAGTCTTTTTTTAAAAATTTTTTATTAGGTATTATTGATACACTCTTATGAAGGTTTCACATGAAAAAACGTGGTTACTGCATTTACCCATATTATCAAGTCCCCACCCATACCCCAATGCAGACACTGTCCATCAGTGTAGTAAGATGCCACAGATTCACTGTTTGCCTTCTCTGTGCTACATTGTTTTCCCCGTGATCCCCCACACCATGTGTACTAAACATAATATTCCTCAATCCCCTTCTCCCTCCCTCCCCAACCACCCTCCCACACCCCTCCCCTTTGGTAACCACTAGTTCCTTCTTGGAAACTCTAGTCTGCTGCTATTTTGTTCCTTCAGTTTTGCTTCATTGTTATACTCCACAAATGAAGGAAATCATTTGGCACTTGTTTTTCTCTGCCTGTCTTATTTCACTGAGCATAATATCCTCCAGCTCATCCATGTTATTGCAAATGGTAGGATTTGTTTCTTTCTTATGGCTGAATAGTATTCCACTGTGTATATGTACCACCTCTTCTTTATCCATTCATCTACTGATGGACACTTAGGTTGCTTCCATATCTTGGCTATTGTAAAAAGTGCTGCAATAAACATAGGGGTGCATATGTCTTTTTGAATCTGAGAAGTTGTATTCTTTGGGTAAATTCCAAGGAGTGGGATTCCTGGGTAAAATGGTATTTCTATTTTTAGTTTTTTGAGGAACCTCCATATTGCTTTCCACAATGGTTGAACTAGCTTACATTCCCACCAGCAGTGTAGGAGGGTTCCCCTTTCTCCCAATCTTTGCCAGCATTTGTTGTTCTTAGTCTTTTCAATGCTGGCCATCCTTACTGGTGTGAGGTGATATCTTATTGTGGTTTTAATTTGCATTCCCTGATGATTAGTGATGTGGTGCATCTTTTCATTTGTCTGTTGGCAATCTGAATTTCTTCTTTGGAGAACTGTCTCTTCATATCCTCTGCCCATTTTTAATCGGGTTATTTACTTTTGGGTGTTGAGGCATCTAAGTTCTTTATATATTTTGGATGTTAACCCCTTGTTGGATATGTCATTTACAAATATATTCTCCTATATTGTAGGATGCCTTTTGTTATGTTGATGGTGTCCTTTGCTGTACAGAAACTTTTTAGTTTGATATAGTCCCATGTGTTCATTTTTGCTTTTGTTTCCCTTGCTCAAGGAGACACGTTCAGGAAGAAGTTTTGCCTATGCTGTCTTCTAAGAGTTTTATGGTTTCATGACTTACATTCTGGTCTTTGATCCATTTCAAGTTTACTTTTGTATATGAGGTTAAACAATAACCCAGTTTCATTCTCTTGCATATAGCTGTCCAGTTTTGTCAACATCAGCTGTTGAAGAGGCTGTCATTTCCCTATTGTATGTCCATGGCTCCTTTATCATATATTAATTGACCATATATGGTTGAGTTTATATCAGGGCTCTCTAGTCTCTTCCTTTGGTCTATGGATCTTTTCTTGTGCCAGTACCAAATTGTCTTGATTACTGTGGCTTTGTAGTAGAGATTGAAGTTGGGGAGCATGATTCCCCAGCTTTATTCTTCCTTCTCAGGATTGCTTTGGCTATTTGGGGTCTCTTCTTCTTTTCTGGTTCCATATGAATTTTAGAATGATTTTCTCTAGTTTGTTGAAGAATGCTGTTGGTATTTTGATAGGAATTGCATTGAATCTGTATATTGCTTTAGGCAGGATGGCCATTTTGACAATGTTTATTCTTCCTATCCATGAGCGTGGATGTGTTTCCATTTATTGGTATCTTCTTTAATTTCTCTCATGAGTTTCTTGTAGTTTTCAGAGTATAGGTCTTTCACTTCCTTGGTTAGGTTTAGTCCTAGGTATTTTATTTTTTTTAATGCAATGGTGAATGGAATTGTTTTCCTGATTTCTCTCTCTGTTAGTTCATTGCTAGTGTATAGGAATAAGGCAAGCAGTCTTAACTGATATGCTCCTGGTGCTTGGGGGTAGCCACTGTCTTGGAGAAGAACAGGTAGTTTATCCTGTAGAATTATCTAGAGGACTGACTGTGGATAATGACATATTGTCTCTCACTGGAGATAGACATTATGAGACTGCATAACAAGCCTATCCCAACCTCCCACCCTGCAACCTTTTACCTTTATCCCATTCTTGAAAGCCTTAAGAGACAGAATCCTAAGCCCTTAAGTGTGCTCTTCTCTGATGCTGCCTGCACTTTCTTGGAGTGTGTATTTTTAAAAGACTTCTTACTGCTCAACTTATTACATTTTGTCTCTATGCTCTTCCAGTGATGTCTTTGTCATTTACTATTTTATTCTATTTTCCAGACTTTAAGCACAAGTCTTCACTCTCTCTGTCCTATTTCAGACAAGTAGGGAGGGACCACTAAAAGCTCTGATTTGAGTTTGCAAGTTCCCATTAAGGAGCTACCCCTTCCTTTCTGTTTTATTCAACCTGCCTTTGTCTACCTTGACTCTGGCCCATTCCTTCCTTAGAGTGCATTCAAATAAAACTTTTGCTCTGCTTCACTACTGTGTCTCTGCCCTTCAATTCTTTGTTGTAGTGGAGACAAGAATCAAGGAGAATGAACTCAACCCCTAACACTAACATAAGTATTTAAAGCTATAAATTTTCCTCTGGGCACTGCTTTAGCTAAACTCCACAAATTTTGATATGTTGCATTTTTGTTACTAGTTCAAAATATTGTCTTCTTTAACCTGCTTATGTACACGTTATTTAAAAGTGTTAATTTAAAAATATCTAGATTTTATTATTTTTCTAACTTAATTCCATCATTGTCAGAGAACATACTTTATAAAATTTTGATAATTTGAAATATATTTAGACTTATTTCATTGCCCAGAATATGGTTTATCTTGGTGAGCATGTGCTCTTAATAAGATGTGTATTCTGTAGTTAGGTGGAGTTTTATAAATGTCAGTTACAGTCAGAGTGCTCAATAGTATTATGGGTTGAGATGCTGTTTTTCCCAGGATTATGTCTCAGAGGTGACAAAAAATGAAGCCAGTAGATAAGAGTACAGAGCAACCAGCAAAGCTCTTTTGATGAGCCAAAAAAGAAAGCTCCTGCTACTTAGGAGGGGCTCCAAGGAAGGATGCTGTAAGGGCTATGTTGTCTGGATTTTATACTGCCTCCTGAGAGCAAAACTCTCACACCCCATGGATCTAATAGAGAACTGAACTGGTAACATCACAACCCGCTCTTGACTGGCTGAAAGTACAATGCTTCATTTGCATAGGGCATAACCAATCAGAGCTGAAGTCCATCTAAGTGTGTTTTTGAATGGCTGAGTTTGGAGCTTCTTGAAACTTACAAAGGCCTTGAAACTTATAGGAGACCTGAACTCTGCCTGCTGCCCTCTATCACCTGCCTTAATAGTGCTATTGAGCTCCTCCATGTGCTTATTATTTTCCCAACTTTATAGACTGTATAAAATATTAACTGCAAGAACTTCTAACATTTTATTATGAAAATACTCAAATATACACAGAATCAGAAAGAACAGTATAATGAAACCCAAATACCCACCACCTTCTTTAAACTTAGTAACATTTGACTTGCAACAGTTACAAAAACTTTTAATAAGAAAAATAAAATACTAGAAAAATAAAAACAAGCATGAACACATTTCTCCCCCTTAAGTATAAAAGGAAATACTTAAAGCTTTGCTTGGTACTAAATATTGCATGTATATTGGCCTCCATCTGTTGGAATGAGTGTGAAATGTATTGAGAGAACTTCAGATGACTAAGGAACTTTGTAATATCTAGAAAGAATAGTTTTAAAGCAGGTAATTCAGCAATTGAAACACTATGAACTAAACATCAAGGTTTCCCATCAAAGAGATTTCTTATTCACTTTCAAAAAATCTGACCTAACTTATCTATCTGGTCGGCTTTTAAAAGTATCAGTCAAACTAATCCCAGACTCTGGTGACAAAGGTTTATCAAAGCAACTTTGAAGTAAACTTAGAAATGTCTTAGTAAATGATACCTGACAAGTCGCAGAAATCATGAATAGGAAAATAAAGGATAATCCTGTAAGAGAAAAGATTCAGAATGTCCTTTTCAGAAGCTAAAAGTTCACTAAAGCCACATTAAACTTTGGTGTTAGTTCATCTACACAGGAAACTAAAAGGCAGGTACCAATATGGTCTCACTCTCAGGCAATATGATCTCATGTGTCATATCATACACTATTTGTTTATAATTTTTCATAGCACCTTTCATTTTCAGAATCAAGAAAAGCCATCATTTAAAAACATAAAGTGGCATTATCTTTTAGTGATTTTAAAGATTAAATAACATGATATCTGGGATTTGCTTCAAATCCACTGTGGGAGAAGGTTAACAGATAAAAAATGATTGGCCACAAGTTAATAAATGTTGATGTGGTGAATAAATGGAAAGCATACTGTTTCTTTATTTTTGTATATTTTGAAATGTTTTACAATGAAAGCTTCAAAAAGTCACAATGCTCCTTTTTCATAATACCTGGCTAGACTTTTTCTTTTTAACCATCACTGCCATCATGTATGTTAACTCAAGATGACATAACCCTGAAGAATACTTCAATTTTCTTACCCAGTTCTATGTGCTCTTTTCTTAGATCTTTGCAGTTTCCAATATGTTTCTTTGGTACCACAAGATAATGGTGAGGCACTGCTGGCTTGATATCTTTGAAGCACACTAGGTCTTCATTCTAAAGGACAAAATATATCATGTGTTTGTAAATTTTTTTTAATCTCCTAATGCTCTTCTGCCATGTATTATACATCATAAATCTCAGTCTGATAGTGAAATTGTATTCACTAAGCCCATAAAGATAAGCTTTACCTTCCTTCATGAAATGATCACTTATTCTAGAGAATAAAAAAACTTTCATAAGTCAATTTCAGGAAAACAATTATGAATGAAGCTGATTAAAAGAATCGCAGAGGGCGGAGCCAACAGGCAGCGTGAATAGGACAGTGGGAATCTCCTCCCAAAAACATATATATTTTTGAAAATACAACAAATACAACTAATCCTAAAAGAGAGACCAGAAGACACAGGACAACAGCCAGACTACATCCACTCGTGCGAGAGCCCAGCGCTTGGTGAAAGGGGTAAGATACAAGCTCCGGCCGGCGGGACCCCAGCACACCTCCCCCCAGCTCCCGGAGGGAAGGAGGTAGAGGGAGCCCAGGACTGCTAAACACCCAGCCCCAGCCACCCGCACCAGAGTCAGACACAGTGCATGCATGGAGGGCTGGAAACTAGGGAAATAGGACAGCAAGATTTCTGAGCGGGTTCCAAAGCTGATGCCCATGTGACAAAGAAAAGCGAGTGCTTTTTGAAAGTCTTAAAGGGA